CATTATCCATCATTTTTGCAAATTGGGATTTAATTTAGGTGGGAATATTTGTATTTTTTTATTTTAAATATATATATATATATACACACAGAGAGTTAGCTAGAAGAGATTACCTTTATGAGTAAACTCATATTGCTGTTATACCTTGTGAATCTGGTGAGTGTTTAGTATAAGTTAGATTGCACGAAGGTGGAACACGTGGAAGATATCTGATGATTGCATCAATTCATCCATATGTGGATGTCCATGGACTTTAACACCAGTCATTATTCATTTTTTGTTTACTAATTGCATTGATTGTTTTTTTCACTTTTATCACAGATTTATTTGGATTTGTTCACATTCAAAACTCTCTGCTGCAATTAGCAGATGGAGAGAAAGAGGAATGGGGAGATAGCGTGGTGCACTTTGTTTGATATTTTTTGTTTGGAGGGATTCTTCTGATTTTTTTCACTGCGGCTGTCACATATAATCATTTGTGAGGGGGCGGTATCCATAAGCATGAATACTTACCATTTTTAATTGCTGAGAGACACTCACTGGTGGCACTGGAACTACAAGCTACAGATCCAAGCATGTCACTGCCACCAGCAGATGCTCTGGTTCCTGACAAGCACATCTTTTTCTATACTTTTCTACTTCAAGACTCTTCTAGTTAGTTCACAAAATATGCTCACAGCTACTGTGGCACCTTTCAACAACGATTCAGATTGTTTGTTTTTTTCCTTGGCTAAGACCTGATGGACCATACCTGGACCCAGCCAGAAGGAAGATGCTGAGCAAATAATGTGTTCAGGGCACTGGATACTGCATTGGATCCTGCACAACCTTGAGGATCCCTGTAGAAGATGATGTTGTTTTTAAGTACAACTTGGAGAAGAGGTTAGAAGCCCTGTTTAAAGCCATATTTGCCCTTGCAGAGCTGGCTATGCAACTTGCTGCTGTCACCATGGCTGCTTGTCAAACCTTATCTATATATATGGTGTAAATCTTTTGGCTAGGGACCATGGGGTCATTTTGTAGACCTTGTCATTTACGACTAGAACTTTTTCCTGTGGCCCTGCGCTATTGCATCAATAGCCTGGCATGTACCCCCTGACTGACCTCAGGGATGACTCTCCTTTTTGTTCACATATGACAGATCTATAGCTTAAATGCTAGTTTACCTTTTTCGTGTATCCTTAGATACTCACAAGGAATTCACAGCGGGGCAAGAGCTTACCCCCACTAGCAAAATCTTCTGCTTCCTCCTTTAAGAAAAGTTTCTATCATCCCTCCCAGGCCCCAGGTTCCAAACCCAAGCCAGGCACTCAGTTCCATCATAGGTTCTGGCCCTCCAAGCCTGTAAAATATGGGAACAATGAAGGGATACCCCCACTTATAATTGTGGGGGGACATCTGTTAGCCTTCTTGGCCTCATGTATCTGGGACATTGCCAAAGCCTGGGTTCAGAGCGTTGTAATGGGCTGCAAACTGGAGTTTCACTCTCTGCCTCCCCCATGCTTCCTGTTGTCAAACATGCCAAAATCTCCTCAAAGATGGATGTCTTCACTGCCCTAGATCAGCTTCTTTCTCAGGGGGTCATAGTCCCTGTTCTGGAGGCAGAAGTATTTAAGGGGCTCTCTTCCAACGTATTCACTGTCCCAAAATTCGCGGGTGGGTTGCCTTTTTCCCACCCTAAAGATTCTCAATAAGTTATTGTGGTTGCAAAACTCTATATGGAATCTACCAGATCAGTAATCACTCACCTTCACCCAGACAAATTTCTGTCCTCTGCTTTAGCTCTGCTTGGGTCTGAAGATATCGCAAAAATGGTGTACTTGGACAACCTACTCCTCAAAGAACTGTCAGCAGAAGTCTTATTGTCCAAAGTTAATTGAATGATACAAACCCTGCAGAGCTTCAGATGTGTCTTGAAGCCTCTCATCATTTGGCTTTGAGCACTTGGGAATAGTCTTAAACATGGCCCTGTACAGGTTCTTCCTTCCACTGGAAAAAATCAAATTTCTCTAACCTTGCAGTCCATGAGTCGCCCTGCCATTCACTTTGCATAAAGGTCTACAACATACTGGATATGTTTTTCACCAGGACCAGGGATCCCTGGGCAGTGGATGACTCCGTGGAATTAGTTCACCTCGATCTATGCCTTCCCTCCTCAGAAACTCTTTTTTTTGCCACCTTTGCAGGATCAAGGTGGAGGGAATGCAGGTGTTCTTTATTGCTGCCAAATGGCCCAGTTGACCTCGGTACAGGGATCTAGTTAAACTTCCAGATTGTCCAGTCCTGCTGTCCCAAGGACCAGTATTCCACCCTGCTTCTCGGTTACTTGTTTTAATGTCCTGGCTGTTGAATCCCAGTCCTGAACAGTTGTTTTCAATAAGTTCTGTTTACATGATAATGCTGTTTTGAGGTGGATTGTGATGCTTTGCATAAAAAGTAGATATGCTGCAGTTTTATGCAATGCACCACACCTCACTGCATGTCATTGCACCAGGGTGTGTCACAACGAGTGTGATCAAGTAGCAAATCATGTTCAGCATTTTTTATAGATTTATTACACTGGAATGTTTATTTTCTGTAAAATTACCTACAAAATCTGCTTCACATACAAAATTTTACATTGGGGGTGTAGTGTTTCTATTTACAACTCTGGAACTAAACATGAGATTGCAGTAAAGCTAAATTACCCCATTTTTTTAAAAACAAATGTGACATTTCATATTAAGCTTAACTGCCTTTTTGTTTGCAATTATAATGTAACACTTCTAGTGAACTGCAAAACTAGTAAATAGATAGGGCCCCCCATCGTAAATAAAAGAGAGAGGTGATATAGGAAGCTGTATTTCTGAACCAGGAAACAAGTGTGTCACCTGCTTGATTTTGCAATGGGACATATGTGAATAGATCAAAAGATTTGTAGTACAATGTTACAAATCCTTTAGTATTTAGAACACTGAACATACAGTATATATATTTTATGTGTGTTTTCAACTGTTTGCCTGGGTTTTCACTCCTGTACATTACTTTATTATTTTTTTTTTACTTAATCAATATTTCTTTATTAAGCATTTTCAATTTACAGAAAGAAGAATGCATAACATAGCACAATTGCGTACACTTCGAAAATAACTTGTATATTGGTACAGTATAGTATATAACATTGCTATACTAAGTAAGGTGTGCTCGTTCTAGCGCCTCTATGGAATCTAAAGGGGTAGCTATAGTAGGTTGAGCAACAGGACGGTTCAGAATCTTTGAAGATGAGTCATGAAGAAAGAAAGGATAGTTAGAAGAGGACGGTAAACACTAACTAAAACACACTAATAGACAAAGACAGTAGTCACAATGAACAATATGTATTTTGAAGCCACATTTTCCAATTTTTGTAAAAAGTGTGGTACCGATGATTTTTATAAGCAAACATTGTCTCATAAGAACATTGTAGGTTTATTAAATGTATGAGTTCCGAGAAATTCGGAGGTGAAGATGAACACCAATGCCTGGCAATGGAAACGGTTGCTGCATAGAGGATGTGAGTGACAATGGTCCAAGCTGAGGGAGGAATTATATCTATGTCAATGTGTAAACTGTACATTACTTTTCATCTGCTGTTCCCTGGTCTCTTAATTTTTATAAAAAACATGAATCTGTGTGCCTTAATGCATTCGTATCTGTTTTGTCCATTTTTATGCATCTCTAGATTGGGAAATTCTTTGGAGAGATTGACCCAAGCCTGATGAAAAAGCTTGTCAATATTTCTGTATATGCATTTAATAAGTCTTATGACTACCAGTCTGTGTGTGATCCAGGTGAAGAGCCAGCGAGGACAGCTGCTCCCCGCTCTGTGTTTGTGGTAGGTAATACCATCAAACTACTATTGAACATACACCCGTACTATTATTGCATACTAAACCCAATATCTTTTATAGCCTACAATAGCTGACATTTTAAATCTTGGATGGTGGGCTTCTGCTGCTGCTTGGTAAGTAATAATTTTTGATATAACAATGTAAAAATAAAAAATAGGAATGTTTGTGATTATAGCCTAATCTCATAATTCAGAACACATTTAAAGCAGAACTACTGCCTCCTATTACATACAGACAAGGCAGGTGCCACCTTAGCCTCTATTTGAATTGCATTTGCCATGGCGCTGCACATGTGATCATCTATAACACCAGCCATTTGAGGACTTAAATGTTCAACGGAGCACACTGGCAACCTTGACAGTTGGCATGCCTAAAAGGTAACTGTAACTAATTAAACTGATTGGTAAAGGTCCTATTTAAATTACGGGTTTTATGGCTCAGACTTTAAATGAGGGGTCACATTTGTACTTGTTGTAGTAGAACCAGTTGTAGTTGTACCAGACAACTACCATTAGCCACTCATCATATAATAAATATTAAAATGAAACTCCAGTTTGCTAAGGTTAAACCCTTCTAAATTAAGTATGTACGTTAGAACAATTTTAGTAGTGAAAGATCTGTACCTGTTTATGTTCTATAGATTGGTATAGGACATTACAGTGTAAATGGTAAGTGGGAGGTCTGCCTTAATGTAAAACTGACATGAGAAAACAGGTTTTATTTTATGTTTCCTTCCTCAAGAGCATGCACTCATTTCTTCCACTCTGTTAATGTTGCTCCATTCAAATGCTAGGAGCAAGGAAAGGAAGTACATTAGATAAACTCAGATCTGTTCATTTATAGTGAGGTACTTTCACAAAGTAAGACTGAAGGAATGCCAGTGGGTTCATTTCCTTACAATAATCCTTTCACTGATGAGGTGATGATAATGAAGGCAGATCTTCCCTCAGTTATTCAGTTTAGGAAAGTTCAGTATAAGACCTATAGCAATATCTTCACAACAGTGAAAGGAAATAGTTGACAGTAAGGTTTGCTACAATTCAGGGGTGTAACTACAAATCATAGGGCTCCATAGCAAAACTTTGGCACCCCCCACCCCCCCGGCTAACTCTCCCTGTAGTTTCTGGCAGTGTCTACTTTGACAACATGTGACAACAAGGACAGGCAGCACGAGAGCTGTCAGCATAGTCAGTGCACTACTAGTGAGCAGTGTTGTGGGTAAAAGTTATAGTAGCATGAATAGTACCCATAATGATATTTTAAGCTTCATTAAACTTTTTTGCAGAACTACAAACCGCAGACCTCCTAGAAGGTTTTAGCAGATGTGAAACTCTGAGTTTGTGATTGCATTGGGCATACAGGGTTGGTTAATTTGCAGTCTCTAGAAGAAGGTTAGTGGGCAGTAAATCTACACTGCTATGATAGAATAGATAAGCAAGTGCTTCTTACTGCACAGAGGGGAATCTATGACTAGATGATCCTGAAGTCTGACATCAACCCTTCTATATTCTAACAGCTAATCCACACTAAATGGATCCCAATAAGATAAGTGTCAAAATTAAATAAATAAATAAACAAAGTCACCTGCTGAGCCAAATATGTAGTGTGAAATTCCTAAACCATTGCACCGCGCTGAACCTCTCTTAACATTATATAATAAACAAAGAGTGTGTCTAAATGCTGAAAACAAATTAACCCCTATGGGAAACGTCATATACTTTGTAAACTTAAATAAATCAAACTCCAATGAATAATTAATCTCCAATAAATAATAATCACCTAGGATTCAAATTATTTATAGGAGTTTGATTTATTTAAGTTTACAAATTATATCACTTTTCCGTAGGGGTTAAGTTGTTTTCAGTATTTAGACACACTCTTTGTTTATTATATATTGTTAAGAGAGGTTCAGCGCGGTGCAATGGTTTAATAAAATCAACCCTTCTATACTTGAAACCTCACAGTTTAGTTTTCCTAATCAGCCCTCCTAATAGGCCCCTGTTATACCCCAGGGCCCACAGCCAACCTGCGGGCAGCTATAGCTATTGTTATACCCACTGCTAAGATCCTTGCAATGTATGTAATTTACCTTTACTACATTTGTTTTCAAAGAAAAGTTTCAAAAAAATATTTCTAAATAACATATCCACTCTCTAACTGGATCTGCAGGAACTGCAGAGCTGGATACACAGAAACACAATCTAGTAAAACAAAACTTGATATACAGCTGTGATTGCTGCACTGTGATCCACATATAAAAATGTTTTACTTGGTGTTCTTTACAGCAGACACTACTGAGAATGCTAACGTGTAAAGCTGTTTGCTGTTACTAATGAAAATTGTATGCTTCTTTACTTATAATAAATTGAAATACTAATTAATAGTTTATGCCTTAGGTCTATATTACAGCAGTTACTCTGGAGTCTTACCTTTCCAAACTTTAACGAGGCTGGTATGTCTGAATAATGTTTTATGTATTCGTGTTTTAAATTATATTCATCAACCAAATTTAAACCATTTGTTTTTGCTTTGTAAAGTATGCATATGCAAACTGATGCTAAACTCAGGAGGGAAATCTTAAAAATGCATTCCAGTATCTTAACTATGAAGAAAGATGCAGTTTATTTGTGCATCACTCAGCTGTAGATCCTCAAATAATCTCTGAATTCATGCTGACACTGTCCTTCCTTCTGGAGGATGGCTACTTTTGTTCCCCATGCTTTTGAGTGTGCTGTAAAGTAGCCAGCACTTTAAGCTTACTCCTGTGATGAACTACAATCTCACGTTTAGTTTACTAATTTGTATCAAGATTATATTCCATCATAGGAGTGAGCTTGGAGTAGTGACTGCTTTGCACATTATAAAAAATTCCAGCACAAGGGGCGAAGGGGGTTCTTCACAGTAAGATCAGTTAGGGTCTGGAACTCACTGCCACAGGCGGTGATTTCAGCAAATAATGTGGAATTGTTCAAGAAATTTTTGGACGATTTCTTAAGGGACCGTAATATACAGGGGTACAGGTACTCCTAGAATGAGATCCTAATGGGTTGGACTTGATGGACTGATGTCTTTATTCAACCTCAAATACTATGTAACTATATATTGATTTAAGGCATTCTTCCTTTAGTTTTCTTGTGGATATTGTACTGTATAACACTAATCTTGTATATTTTAAAGAATTAACCGACACTAGTGGTTACCATCATGAGGCAATTCAACCACATAACCCAAAAAGCAGTGTTTATTGTAATACATCTTCATATTCATTGTGATAAATTATTTTGTTAGGTTTTTATATATCAATAGATATTTCTGTCTGTCTTCTGTTAAGAACACATTGTGCATTTCTACAGTATAAATTAATTCAAATTCCACTTTATTTTTACTGTTATACTTCAATAAAACAAAACGTGCAATGCAATTTACCATTGCAGGAATTAAAACAGCTGTTAAGTGGAATTTAGAAAAGTACATGATGAAATGTGATGAAACTGATATGTTCTTAGAAAGCCCCATAACTGTAATGTATTAAACTATATCCTTGTAGCAATTTGTAACAATATCACTTGGCTTTGGTAAGTGACCTAAGGGAAACTACTAAATTTAGACCTTATAAAACTATATATTATATATCTAGAGAAGTGGACTAAGTTGTTAGTACCCTTAGTTAGTACCCTTCCACAAAACAATCCCCCACAATTTTTTTTCGCAAATAACTAATTAATTTGACTTTGGTTCAACAGAACACTTCAAATAATAAACAAATCAAAATGGCATGGACAAAAATTATAGGACCCTTAATCATCTGCACACATGAAAAAATGCACATTTTAGGCCTGAGAATCACTTTATTGTATTGGCACAAGTCTGCTTACCTCATCTATATACATTCTGCATATATTAACTGTACTGTTCCCATGTAATATTTAAAATTACTACATATTCTATACTGCCATGATAATACAGTTTCAAGTATTACATAATTTCTAAATGCAGGTTAAAGGCCGTGACACACTGCACGCGAAGCCGTGCAGAGCGAAGCAAAGCTCTCCGGCACGGAGTTTCGCGTGCAGTGTGTGAGCTGAGTGCAGTCAGATGATTGACTGCACCTTCAGCCAATCAGCTCGTCTGTAACAACCGGCCAGACGTCGCATCCCGTCGCGCCGGTTTATACGCGCGAGCCGATTGGCTGAAGTTGAAATTGTTCATCTCGGCACGCTCAGCTCTGCGAGCTCTCGCAAGTTGAGGTGCCGAGAAGAAAGTGACATGACACACTGCTCGCAAAGGCAGCGCGCCACCGCTCCGCGCTGCTTCGCGTGCAGTGTGTCACGGCCTTAAGTCCTTAAATCTTATTACTTATGTCTTAGGCATAATACATAAGACTTTACATATGTCTCAGGCTCTACAGTATGTCCTTTAGATATTTAGATAACAACTATATAGTGCAAGGGCCTCCCTGACTTGATACAAATTGGATAGATTAGCTAGGTTCTTGTATTACATAGATTTGGTTAAACCACAGTTGATTGTACAAAGATTGTACAGTCAGATTGAAAGTATATGGTGACCCTTACTCACTTACCTTACTTATGACCTATTCTTGTCTTGCAGCTGAATTTGATGATGATGACTTTTCTTCCATTATGTCAAAGCAGAGCTGTATCACTGAACAAACCCAATATTTTTTTGAAGATAACACTACATCTTTTAATGGGCATCTAGACTGCATCACCTGCACAAGGTAAACCCTTATTAGTCAGTAAAAGGATACTGTTTCATAGCTGTTATATTAACCAACTTTTCTTTCCAGAGACAAAAAAGACCTGATCATAATGATGCATTAGTAATGTTTTTGTTAATATTACATTGGAACCATGTGATAAGTCCTTCACTATTAGGGATGAGCTCAGGTTGGGACCAAACCCAGTCCAAACCTGCACTCCACTGAATCCTTACCTGCCACCCAATGCGCAACGTGTGGGGAATTACATAAGCAAAGGGACGGGATGCAGGGATGTCATTGACCTTATATGATGGCATACCTATGTTTAGTATATGACATTTGTCTAATATGGCCTAATAATGTGGCCATATATGGTAAATGATGTCAGCACAAGCATCCTGCCCCTTTGTTTACATGCAGTTGTGAGGTGAGGAATCCCTGGTCTGCTGCTGATTGGGTGGACGTGCCCATGGCAATTCCTTATTCAAAGGAGCTCAGATTCGAACCGAGTTGAGTCTAAATCTGTGCTCATCCCTATTCACTACATTGATAGCATTCCAAAACTGGTAATTGGCCTCTCTCGTGGCATTAAGCCATAATAAACCAAACGGGTCTTTTTGCAGTTTTCCATTTTGCTATAGCTTTGTGTGCATTTTTGTTTAATTGTTGGTAATAAAGAGGACAATTTCCTTTGATTTTGTTTTCAGAATCTACCATGTTGAAAAGCTTGCCAACACCAATTTGCTCTTCATAATAGTAGACAGTCGTCACACATGTGATGCTTGTGATCAACAACCTCTAATACAAGCAGAACAACGCTGTATCCTTTCTGTCAAAATACCAACTAAACCAAACATGGAACTTATTTAATCCCATAGGGATAATACTATTTTGTCATATTATTAGAACTGAACATATTTAAAATATTAGACAGGGTAATTTTAAGGTTGATCAGGCGTATTAAAGGCATGTATTTTTTTTAATTGTAAGCAGCATAAGTACCTAAATTTGACTTGGTATAAGCCTCTTGTACTCCCTTTACAGCAGAGTTAAGAAAGAGGAAGGGACAAACAGCAGAAAGGAGCTAGTCAGCAGTGCGTCAATGCAAGAAGCATGTTGATTGGAGTAGAGCAGAGAGGGGAGGTCATCCGTAGCTCCTGACTGTCCTTCATTTGGAGAGACGAAAATCTGGCAGTTGTACAGTAATTGCGGTTGTGCACTTCCCATCAACTGGCAGATTTTCGGATGAAAATGCGATCACGGCCAAAAATTGGCAGATTATTGTAAGGTGTATGGGCACCTTTAGGTTCCATTCCCATCTAGGTGCGATTCCTGCATCAGCAACTTGTGATTTCCTGCAGCAAGAATCCCTAATATGCCATTTAGTAGGCAGTGGCAGCTGTTACCCATTCAAGTTAATAATAGGGTGACAGCTGCATTTGAACACCGCATGTAATTGTATGTGATACGATTGCATGTGTTTAGGAGTCAATCACTCTCTCGATCAGGTGTTCAGGGATAGTGATTGATTCCTAACCGAATGTAATTGTATCACATGCCACCAAATGTAATCATATCACAATCTAAATTGGGCTGTATTCTTTGCCTAGATATTTTGTGCTCAAAGGTGTCACTCTTTCTCATCTTATGAAGGTTGGGAGGTATGAGGTCATCAGTCTGCTGCTTCTTCTTTCACACTCCAGTCACAGGCCAAAGGAGGGACAAGTAGGATAAGGAATATCTTAAATTATATAATCTCCCCTGCCTGTCTACTGGGTGGCAGAACTGTGTAATTCTCAGTACTGGATAGACAGACTTATAAATCTTTTGGCTGGTAAAACAGCTTCATTATACATATTTCATCTGTGCAGTTATCTGTTTTCTTGAAGTTTAAGTCTATTGCACTGTTAGAAAACAAAGTGACCTTAATTATGTTGAATTTGATTTGTACTATTTTGTTTTATATGGCAACATCCTTTTAAACTTCATCCATAGTTATACTTCCAATGGGGAATGTATATTGACACATTTATGTAATTGCATTTCCTCAATTATAAACTACAGCGAATGGACCTGATCCATGCCTGCTTGCTCAGAATCCACGGTACAGAAAAGGTCCTGATGTTTGCTTTGACCAAGATGATTTGGTAGGTCTTATTGCTTAACAAGAATTTAGTTTAGAGGAATCTTTCAGTAACATTTTCTGGTATTTGATTTTGTTTTCAACTTCTATTAATTGTTTAGTCAGTATGTAACTGTTATTAAAAAAAAAACATGTTTGTTGTATTTATAGCCACGTCAAAAGTATTGCTTTTATTCTATTCTCATTTCCTGTATGGCATGCTATGGAATGATTGTTAACATTACAACATGTTAAATATATCCATGCATTTTGGTGAAGTTACACTGCATGTGTCTTGCTTCACTCTGCTATTTTTTTATAATTAACTATCAATTCATGGCTGCATTTTCTCAGCTCTGTAGCAAGCTACTTTCACACAATGTTTGAAAATATGGTGGAAGAATACCAGACTTTTTTATCTTCTTAGATTTTTCTATTTTTGTAGGCCTAATCTTTATTTTCCTAGTGATAATGGCAAAGTTTAGCAGAATATATTTCCTGTTTGATTATCCATATCACTAAATATGTCATACTAAGCAGTCTTTCAGCTAGTACTCAGCTTTTAATGCATCTATATGTAATAGACATATATCTGAATGTGTTTTAGTAATCAAGGAAGGGAATAAGGGGGTTAACAAAGTGTTTTCTTACAACCAACTATGGGTGCATCTATACCCATAATAGCCCTCAAGGCTGCTATGTGAACCAGGAGAAAGGAACAAATAAACCTTTACCCTAGCAGTTTTCATTTTCAGCTTTTTCACCAGTACATGGGGAGAGTGAGTTACTGTTATTAACTTAATTTAAATATAATATTATCGCATGTTATCATAATTGTGTGAAGGTAACTCTTTTCTCACTTGTTAGCTTAAATATACTCATCAGCAGTGATTCTGAATTTCGAAGCCATCCTAAATGTAGATTGTGACTCTTAATTCTAGGCGAATCATTGGAGCTCATTTAACTGCTTGCTAACTGCATGACATCTCATCTTGTGTGTCTTTTATTGTCTTTTTTTTTCTTCTGCTTGCAACTTTGCCTGCTATTAATAGGATGAGCCTTTGTGCACACCAAGTGGTGCCACTGCCTTGATGTCCACTTCTATCTTCATTTTACTGCAAGTATTCTTGTGTTGATGAGTTCTAGTCTTATCCTTTTTATTTTATTTTTATTTGCTCAAAAAAGAAAACCTATACTGAGGGAAATATGAGGGCTACCATTGCTGGCTTGTCCATCAAAAATGCTAGTGGTCTGGCGGTAATGCTGATTCACTGACATGGAAAAAAGAATGCAGATCAGATGCTCTAATTTCACACTGACTTCCCCGGGAGTATGCTTGCTCTGGCTCAGTTACTCAGGAAGCACTGATGCTAGAAGTATCTAACATTTTTTTTAAAGTTAGCAACTGCAGCCTATAGGTTTTTCTTAACACAGGATCCTTTTAAAACAGGCCTTTATTAGCTTAGTAGTTATGCTTTCCCTACAAATATATTACAGCAATCATAGAGCACTGATATCCTTCACATGAAATACATATTTTGCTTAGTCAGCATTGATGGCTTCTGGGAAACATTTATTTTGGACAGTTCAGGGCCATTCTTTGAAGTAGATGACTACCTCATCTCAGGCAACACAAGTCTGATCTGGAGTTGACAACACAGTTGAGCACTGGCCAAGGTACTTTTCTTATTTGCTCCAACAGTTATTTTTCAGGACAAACTTTGACCATTCTCACCTCTGTTACTCTCCACCCTACCTCTCATTCCAAAACCTAATTCTTTACTCCCTATATCATCGACATACTTTTATTACCATTACTATGTGTCTGAGTTTATTTCAGAGATTGTTGTCCTGCAAATTTCTTCCTAACATTTTGCTAAACCATTGTGTATCAGTACTGCTTGGACCTTAGAAGAAGGATGAAGGCCCTGAAAGCTTGTCCGTGAAAATGTAACTGTTACTGCAGATAAACAAAGTGTCACAAATAGTACTCAATTGCTTTGTTGCAATAGTGCATTAATATGGCTACACAGGAATAGACACTGACCTTGCTTCCCTTTCAGAAACATCTTTGACAAGTAAGAGGTAAGGTGGTTAATGAAGAACCCAAATAGCCATCTTTTGAGGGTAATATTAATAGTTGCATAAGAACTGGTTCCATTGATAAACTAATTATCTACATTGAGAGCTTTGTAGCTATAAATACAGTATATCATTTTAATAGGTGTGTTGCTTAAGGCAGAAAGTCACTGTATTAAACAAAAGACACTGCACTATCTCTATGATTATAAAACTCTAAGTGCATATACTTAGTGACAATTATACAAAATGTTCACTCCAACTAAGTCCATATAAAAATATTCCCAAAAATTATATGATCAAAAATGAAAATCCTGTGATGAAATCCTTGTGTTCACTTTCTTTATATTACATCAGTGAGTCAAATAATCATTGCATATAAAGTTCCACAATCACTTGTGACTTCTTTGCTTCAATTCCTCGTCAATTAATCACCCATGTGGCCTTTAAACGCTCTGCAAACTTCCCTGGTGTCTGATGTCTCCCTCTCCACTGAATCACCAACAGCTGAAAATGATGAGTCTGCCCAATGTCTCTCCCAAATTTCACTTATCCGCTCAAAATAGAAAACCAATATCGCACATAGGGGTCTATTCACAAAGCTGCCGAAGGATCTGGCCGTAGCTTCGGCCGATCCTTCGGCTAGCTTCGGCCCCAGGACCCCTTCGGTTCAGGAGAACCGAGGGGGTGCTGTACGGGCTATTCACAATAGCCCGTACAGCTCCCGATCACGGCCGAGCGGCTCAGTCGAGC